CTGAGACAAGCCGCCGATGTCCGAAGGGTAGGTAAGTTTCAAAGCTCTATAAAGGGATGGGTGAACAAAAACTGGGACCCTCCCTTTAAGTTTCTGGTTGCTTCATCCGAATCTGGGTCTAAAATGTAGGCAGCAGGGGGCACCATTTTTAGAGATGACTGGACCTCCTCTATCATGCTCCATATCTCCCGCGTACCCGGGCCAGTTCTGATAACGGTCAAGATCCTTTTTGCAGACGGGAAGTTTACTGGATTTTCCACCTCGACCCCATTTATCTTCTGAAAGTTCCAGAGAACTTTTAAATCCTTTTGGTTTCTCGTCTGCCCGAACACCCTTTCTGCCTGGTCCTGGATACGCGGCAGACGTCTTCCCTGGGAGATATGGAGGTTTGATTTTTTTTTCTTCATGTCGGTCGTAGTTTGCGATTCGGGGCTTCTGCCCCTTTTTTTGTGAGGTGAATGAGCGGGAGTGGACATGGGTGAAGGATTTGGTGTGATAGAGGGCGTCCAACCCGATGGTGTTCTTACTGGAGAAGGTTTGGACGAATGTATTTTTTCTGACAGGTGAGTTCGACAAAGATTTTGGCGGAGGTGGCTTTGGTGAATTTAGATGAAGGGAAGACGGGGTAGAGGATAGGGGCCCGGTGCCCCCTGCGATTTTTTTTTTTACCCCGTTTAGCGTCTAGTTTTTCTTTCAACTTTTGAGATCTAAAATCTTCTGCCAGCTTGGTTCGTTCTTTTTTGAGTTTCACTCGCATTTTCAGCATATGACGCCGAGGCGTCGCCCTCAGAGCTGGTAGAGGGAATGGGGCTGTAGGTGACTTTGTCCCTGGTGTCATGTTGGGACTGAGGAACCGCTGTTTAGGTCTTCCCTTGCCCCTAACCACGAGGTGTCATTCCCCCTCATCCTTCTCCTTAACCACACTAGTGGCAGGCGTTGGTTTCAGGGGGCAATGTGGGATTTGACCCAACCGAGGTACTTTGCCCATCGGTCCGCCTCGCAGCTAGACCCATTACAGGTGCCGCGGATTTTTCCTTATCGGCCAAGGGGGAATTTTGGTCACCTGCGACCGGAACTCCAGGGGCCTTCTTCCCTGGGCAGGAGGAGGAAAAGGTGACCAGTCTCTCCACACCTCCAACAAGTTGGTCGCCTACCAGTTACTATGACCGGCATTTTCCGGTCGCCTAACACCAAACAGTTGGGGACGGACTTGAAGGCCTCTTGATCCAGCATTATATCGAAAGTCCATCCCCGTTCAAATTGTCAGAGAGAGCCCCTAAAATTTGGCCGTACAGCATAAAAAATGCAGCCAAGAGCTCTCCTGAAATTTGAGGAGGAACCTCAAAACGGCCACCCTGGTCCGCCTGCGGCCTTCATACTCGGTTCTTATTATGAAATCCTTCGTAATTAATTCTTTTTTGGCCATGGCCAGGCAATCTTCTGGTGTGGGCAGCAGAATGTTCCACATGAAGAAACCCCTACCCTTTATAACTCTTTGGGGTTTTATCCCCAGGGACAAAAAGTGATTTTATCACGGTGTCTTTAGTGGAGCGACAAATCTTTCGTGTTTTCTTGTCGACCACAAAACGGTCACCATTCTCTTTGAGAACATATCGAGATCCTGGACAGTATCGACGAACCCATCTTTATTAACAAGATGGGCGTATCCTTTCGCCTTATCCAGGAAATCCGCCATGTTCAGTATACAACTAGGTGGGGACTTCCAACAAGTGGGCAACTCCTCGGATGTCTTAACTTGTGACTGGTCAGTTTTAGAAATATCTCCTTTCTTGGAGATACTCGATTGAACGGATTTTGGGCTAACGTCAGCCCGCTTTTTTCGCAGTTTTTCATGTGGGTCGGCGTTGGCAGCCTTCCCAAACAGGTCTTTTTAACAACCGACCGACTTTTTTCGTCGGCCATGTTGCTAGGGCGTGAAACTAACACTAGCGGGAAATTTCCACAAACAGGGGAGGAGTTGGGGAAAAAAAAAAAAAACAATTAATGAAAGCCTGATAACCCAGGAAAAAAAATATAGAAATAAACTAAAAGTAAAAAATCAAATAAATGCCAGCAAGAAAATAAATAGGTAAGAATTTTTTTTTAAAAAAAAAAAAAAATGGCGCCCGAAGGCAGCCGAAAAATGAAACTCCTCTCTCTCTTTTTTTTTTTTTTAAAAAAATTCAAAACTGTACAAAAAGGAAAAAAAAAAAAAAAAAAAGTTTTCGGCCGAAGCCGATAAAGAGAATAAATTAAAAGTAAAAAACAAACTAGTCAAACCAAAAGGAAAAAAGCGACCGAAATCGCTAAAAAAAAAAGAGAAAAACGGAAATAAAAACAAAGATTTCTTTTTCCTTTGTCTTAAACTGTTCTTAACACTGAAAAGAAATAAACAAAAATAAGAAAGTGGTCGTCCGGTAAGACTTTGTCAAACCGGACTAAAAAAAAGAAAAAATGTGGGCCGAAGCCCAAAAACAAATTAAAAAAAACAAACAAAAGAAATAGAAAAAATTAAAAGAATAAAAAACTTAAATCAATAACTTATCAGAAAAAACTTGAAATATCAGTAAAGTTCTTCCAAATAGGTAGACAGGTCACAGAAACTGGCTCGCCACACAGTAGTACTTTTAAAAAAAACCAAAAAAAAATGACGTGCAACAATCAACACGGAAGACAAGAAAAACAGTCAACAAAGGTCTGACTCGGGGGTCTTGCTCTCTCGGGTCTTAACGTAGCCGTAGTATATGTATATACTGGGTGAGTCCATTTGTGTAAAAAGGGGTGGACCCCTCAACAACCACATTGGAGGAGTATCAGACCAGATACTGTATGAACGGTGCTCCAAACTGTTCAAGTGTCGATCTCTCTGCCTCCTCGTCTCAAGCTGAAAGACACCATTGTAATGAAACATGATTACTCCCAAATATTTATTTTTTTTTGCCAATTTCAAAATAAATGTTATGATACAAGAATTCTCTTGCAGCAGTCTGTTTATGAGTATTATTTGCTGTTAAACTAAAAAAAATATAATAAATAACTCGTTTAAATAGCTTTACAGAACGAGCAGATGTGTGATTTAATTAAAAAAGCTTATATATTGATAAATTTGCCATTTGTACGTGTGTTGAATATTTTGCCATATTTGGTTTGGAGCTCCTCCTATATATATATATCGACAAAATCCAAAGGGGTTGTAATGTTTTCTGATCTGAATTGGCATCTCGACTTTAGTTTTCCAAAGCGCAATATGGCTACTATCTGTCTTTTCTATAAATATTTTTTCATGTCAATTGCTAATATAATGAAGTTCTTATGTTTTAATGAACCATTATTCTCAAATATTTATTTTTTAACCAATTTCACAATAAAAGTGAAAACACAAGAATTGATTTGCGAGAGTCTGTTCGTTATCTGTCTATATTTCTGAGATGAGGTATTATGTACATTATTTACATTGTTCGGACTATTGTCATCATCTTTGTTGCCATATTTATCACAAAGTTTCGGTTGATGTACGCTCCTGCCTTCTTCAAATTGTTAGTATGTCGAACTGAACCCTTTATTTCGCTCATTGGGGTAGACTGTTCTAGTTCCACGGGCCCTGTCTTTGGAAAACTAACTAAAGTCGAGATGCGAATTCAAATCAGATAACATTACAGTCGCTTTGGAGTTTGTCGATATATATAGGAGGAGCTCCAAACCAAATATGGCAAAAATATTCAACACACGTAAGAATGGTAAATTTATAAATGTATAAGCTTTTTAATTAAATCACAAATCTGCTCGTTCTGTAAAGCTGTTTAATCGAGTTATTTATTAATCATGTTTCATTACAATGGTGTCTTTAAGCTTGAGACGAGGAGAGAATAGTGGATTTCTTTCACCTAGTGGACCTATTGCAATCGTAATAACTTGTTTCCCCTTTATTTTCCTGTGTGTGCATCCAACCAATTTTTACACAGTAATATCCACTTAAGCACAAATACCCTTGGCGAATGGTATTTCTACTTAAGTGAACGGTATTTGTGCTTTTATTTTAATTTTCTTCATTATCTTTTCTTTCTTTTTTATTCATTTTCCTTTCGTTAGATTTTCTTCGGGTTATTGTTCTTATTTCACTGCTTCTTTTTTTTCTTCTACCTATTGTCTCATTTTTTAATTTCTTTTTTCCATTTCTCCTTTTATCTTTCCTTTATTTTATGACAACTCTTTTGACGAGCTCTGCCCCCCACCCCACTGTCCCCAACGACATGAATTTAAGCGTGCTACTAGATTGTCATTTAGGTCCCACCGTTTTACTGTTGAAAGAGTTAAATGTAACCGAAACTCCTACTCCAAGTCTCCTTTCACGCACTTCCCAACAGTGGAACTCCCTTCCTTTTCCTTGCTTCCTTGATAACTACAACCTTCAAAGCATTAAATGAAACGTCAATCACCATGTTATCTTTTCTTCAATACCGTTCACCCGTTATCCATTCCTTCAATCCCCACTATATCCAGTGTTTTCTCTCACTTTCACTATCTGTACCTCCATTGTTCTAGGGGCATTCGCGACTTGCTTGAGGTGAAATGATTAAAAAAAATGTTCCTACTTCGTCGCGACAGTGTGGTCGGAAAGTCTTGTCACCCGCCTACCAAAAATAATGAGAACTAGTAATACAAAGCACGTGTAATGGATTCAGTTTATTGAATTTAATGAAACGCTGTCACTTATCGAGTAAGTCTGTAGGAGTTCGGGTCAGCCATCTGAAACAGAAAATTATATTACATAGCAGCGAAAAGAATTACGGACCACCCTGTTGTTCGAGATGTATATATATATATATATATATATATATATATTGGAGTTAACCTTTGTCCTCTATCCGTTGATTTATTTTCCTCGTTGGTACAATTCTTTATTGAATTGCTTTTTCTTTATTATTCCTCTTTTTTTTTTTTTTTTTGCTTTCTACTTTTCTATATTTTTTTGCTTATTCTTCCGTCTTCTTTGGGTCTTCATGTTTATTTTCATTCAATCTTTCTTCTCTTGTTCATTCTACTACTTCATTTTTGTTCCCCTTTCTTCTAATTCGCAATTTTGTTTTTTACCGTCCCTTTTCTGCTTTGATCTCTCTTTCTCCTTTTATCAGACTAATATTTCTTCACACATTTTTGCTTCATTTTCCCATATTTCACTTCTTCTTCTTCTTCTTCTTCTTCTTCTTCTTCTTCTTCCTTCTTCCCTGCTGCACCTGCTCTGTTTTTCATCCTTTTCATCCCAACCTCCTCCTCCTCCTCTTACTTCTTCCTTTGCTGCCATATTGAACATTTTTTTTAATCACAACCTCTTCCTCCCCGTTCTTCTTCTTCTGCTGCTGCTGCTGCTCTATTTTTATCCTTTATATTCCAACCTCCTCCTCCTCCTTCTTCTACTTCTGCTATTGCTGCTCTATTTTTTATCCTTTTCATACCAAGCTCATCCTTCTTCATGTGCTTGTTCTTCTTGTTCTTGTTCTTAGTCTTGTTGTTCTTCTTCTTCTTCTTAGTAACCCTTCTTCATTTTCCTCCTCTTACTTTTACTCTTTCTCTTCTGCTCCCACTTCATCCTTCTCCTTCCACTTCTCCCTTTTCTTCTTCTGCTAATACTTCTCCTCCACCATCTTCGATTATTGTTCTCCTCCTTCACTACGTCTTTCCCATCATTCTTTTTTCACCACCTCGTCCTCTTCACACTTCTTTATTCTGCTCCCCAGTCTTCCCCGTCTCGTTCTAATGTGTTTTCTTCTCCTCCTCCTCCTCCTCCTTCTTGTATCGTTTCTTTCTACAGTGCTCCTCTTCTTTCTAAAATTTCATCGTCATATTCTTGAAAGTGGATAAAAAACGAAGCTTTTGAAACGCTGTTTTAAACTGGACATCATTGTTTCATGTAGAACTACTTAACTGACCAATGATACTTGACCGACTGATATTTTAAGTGGAAAAAAGATATTGCCCAAAACTTTCAAAAACAAAATTCTGTTTTAATTAAAAACGTTCCATTAAAAGAAGAGAAAACATTTAGACTGGAAGAAACTTTATTTATAAAATCAATAGAATTCGTGGAATTATCGAAAGATAGAAAAATGATAGAAGGAAGCAATGACATACCGAAAAACGGATAGAAATCAAAACAGAAAGACTGGTGTCTTGGAAATATAGATTTAAAAATGGCATATTAAGAACTGTTGAAGTATGTCAGAAGTACGGTATAGCCTAAGGGAATTCTTTATCAAAAATGAACCTTTTATTTATATTTTATACCTTTTCCCTTCTGACAGTTGGCGATCATGAGATATGTGGCTCTTAATAAATTTTGTCTTATTTATCTCCCATAAATCTTGCTCTACTCAAACTCACCAATTAGGTTATGTGTTGATTCCAACTTTATCTCTAGTCTTGACCTGTTAGTATTTAATTTTACAAAGCCTCTTTTCTCATTATATGCCATAGAAATTTCATATCCTTTTATTTTTTTATTTTTCGTATACATGTCTTTTTTGTTTCGATTTTCTCTAAAACTTCGAAGTTGATCACATGTTTAGTCCATGTTATTTTCAGAAATATTCTGTAGGCCAAAATTTCTTCGTTTCTAACGAAATTCTTTTCTATGTTTAATATTTTGCTTAGCTTTTGGAATGATTCTCTCGCTATGCCAATGGGTCTTCGGATTTCAGTGTCACACTTTTCATCCCCTGTTAAATAACTTTTCCGATATTTTAATTTATCTTTTGAACTTAGCTCAGCTTTCGTTTCATCGAAGAGGAGAACATTCTTCCAGTTTTCTACGGTGACATTTTTGTAATAGTGAAGCTCATTCAAGTCTCTTGGCTTTGTTGGCTTTGTTTATTAACGGCTTAAACCTTCGTGTACAAGATTTGTAGCCTTCTTCTAACAACAACCGACGGACGGTTGAAGAGGCAAGACTAACAACTTGCTCTTCGCTTAGACTGGCTGCAATGTCTTGGCTAGTTATAGCCCTATTCTTCGCAACTTCTCTCTTGATTACCCTGCCAGTTCTATCGTCAATCTTTTTCTTTCGTCCCCTTGTTTCCTCCCTTGGAGCAGGAGTGGCATCATTATGTACCCTAAGCACTCGACAGACAGTTGATTGCCAGCTTATAGCAATTTCTGCAAATTCTCTCGTAGATACGCCTGCTTTTGAGTGGGCAATAATAGATGCCTTAAGTGGTTCTGAGTGGCTATTTCAAGCTGTTTTTTATACTATATGAGGCGTCCTGGAATTTAATTTAAGCTGTTCTAGAATTATCTAGAATATTTTTCTGAGTGTATTGGAAAATAGATTTCAGTATTTTGTCAAAAGCTCTTTAAATTGACCTGCTTAATCCTGAGAATGCAATATCTGAGTCACTTTTTTGCATATAGTTTTTCCTGAATCACATTTATATCCAAATTTTTTATTATCAATATAATACCTTAGGATGAATAAACTTTTTTCCTAGGTGGTCGGGAAGGGTAAGATTAAAATAACCCCAAAATAATGGACAAAAATATTTTTAGTAAAGGAAAATCAGGTGAGTTACATTTATCAAAGAGCACTTTATATATATATATATATATATATATATATATATATATATATATATATATATATATATATAATGAGAAGTCACGTATACTTTCTTAATATGTATATATATAGAAAGTTTCAAATTGAAAAAATAATAATGTTTTATTTTATGAAAGTAATTATTTATTTATATATATATTTGATATTTCAAATTGTCCTCAATCTTTCATCAGAAATAACTGTTTGTTACAAACAGTAATTATTAATTTATTTTTATATATATATATATATATATATATATATATATATATATATATATATATATATTTAAAATATGATTCAGTTCAATTTTTATTACTATATAAATAAAACGCACTCACTTAAATTTTCAAAAAAATTCAACCTTAACTTGGCGACTGTACGCTCCACAATTTTGTATCCGTTATCAATAACACATTTTTGAAAAAAATTCATTCGCATTATATTAATACCTGAATTTTACGAAAAACAAAATAATTTCCATGTCTGCAGATGACAAAATATACAGTTGAACGTACTTGCGTATTTAAGAAAAAACTTATACAGTCTATAATTTAAAGAAAAAAAAATGAACATAAAACTCATCCAGTAATTGGTAGGTTAATGCATCTTTAAAATTTTGTTAGCGAAGGCATTTCGTAATTTTATATCATTAACTTTACTAGTC